AAATGAGAGCAAATGAGAGAAATGAGGAGAGAGGATGTTTGTTCCAGCTCTAAAAACATGGGAATGAGTGTAATTTGAGTGTAAGGGACATTGAAGTGACTTAGGTAAGGTGGGGAGGTGTGGTTAGTCAAAGAGTGGGTGTGGGGTGGTTGCTTGTGACATTGGATAAGGCAAAGTCAACACTCCACCTTTAATAATTCACCCATTTGATTTTTATTATTTAAATAATGATTTTCATCAAAATATGTTTAAAATTATGAATATTTAGAGTTTATTGTGTTAAAATATAATTTCTGGAGAAAATCCCGCTTTGAAATCACGAAAAACGGGCTTAAAATGTTAAAAATATCAAAAATTGGCTAAAAGTGACAAATTTCCGAAATCTAGCCGAGGTTCGGCCTTCTGATGCTGAAACCGAGAGGAGGGAGGGTAGAAACCGAGAGGGCAGAAGGGAGAGAGTAGGAACCGAGAGGGGAGAAGAGAGAGGGCAGGAACCGAGAGGGGGGAGGAGAGACCGAGAGGCGAAGAAGAGACAGAGAGGAGAGAAGGAGCAGAGAGGCGGAGTAGAGACCGAGAGGAGGGAGAGACAGAGAGGCGGAGTAGAACCGAGAGGAGGGAAGAGAAGAGAGGCGGAGTAGAGATCGAGAGGAGGGAAGAGATAGAGAGGCGGAGTAGAGACCGAGAGGAGGGAAGAGACAGAGAGGCGGAGTAAGAGACGAGAGAAGGCGACAAAGACCGAAAGCAGAGAAGAGAACAGAGAGGAGAGAAGGAGCAGAGACCGAGAGGAGCAGAGACCGAGGCTCGGTCTCGCATGCCTCAGCCAAAAGAGGCTCGGTTCTGGTCCTAAGAGGCCTCTCTTCATGGTTTCAGTTCCTAAGCCTATTTTTCTCGTTTTCGCCCCGTTTTAAGCCGTTTTTGACCCGGTTAAGGGTCGGAATGACCCGAATGATTCTAAAAAGTTACGGGAACTTTTGAGAGAGATTTGGGAGAGATTTCACATACTTGGAGAGATTTGGGAGAGATTTGACATTCTTGGAGAGATTTCTCATACAAAGAGATATTTGAGAGAGATTTCACATACTTGGAGACATTTGGGAGAGATTTGACATTCTTGGAGAGTTTCTCATACAGAGAGATATTTGAGAGAGATTTCACATACTTGAGGGATTTGGGAGAGATTTGACATTCTTGGAGAGATCTCTCATACAAAGAGATACTTGAGAGAGATTTCACATACTTGGAGAGATTTGGGAGAGATTTGACATAGAGAGAGATAGAGTGAAAACGATTGAGAGAGGTTCCATGTGTGACAATTGTCAGTGTCCGGCATCGCAATGCATGGTTCTTAAACCCTATTAAGCCTTGTTTAAGGATCTTACACACTCCCGATGAGTATGCAACATTGTTTTATCGGTTTGGCTCGCCACGGACTACAGTTTTAGGTTAAGGAGATCTAGATGTTCGCACTTTTGATTTATGATCTCTCATTAGAATAGAGAGTTATGTAGAAATTTCATAATGTAATTTTAGTACTCACGGGCAAATTGAGTCAAACGGTTTGACTTGCTGACTTTAGTTGACTTTGACTTGACCGAAATTTGACGGTTGTCACATCATCCCCCCGTTAGAGGGAATTTCGTCCGAAATTTGAATTTAGGCAAGGAGTAGGCATGAATAGTCAAGCCGAGAAGTGAGGATACTTCCTAATCGACTGACTCACGCGCTCCCATGTGACTCTAGGTCCTTGGTTAGTATTCCAACGAACTTTCACTAATGGGAAGTGGCGTTGTTTCATCCGCTTGACCTCGGTCCATGGTCACCATGGTTCTTCCAAGAAGGTGAGGCTCTTGTGTAACTCGATCTCGTCGAGGGGAATTGCAAGAGTCTCGTCGGATAAATACTTCTTGTAAATTTGGGACGTGTTGGGTAGAGTGTACTTTACCAAGCTCGCGGGTAGATTGAAGTAGCGAGTTACAGGGCTAATTCTGACAAGAATCTTGAAAGACACAATTATTTGGGGTATTGGCTTTCCATGCTTTCCGAAGCGTACTAAGCCTTCCCAGAGTGAGTGTTTCTAGAGGAATTTGGTCGGTTATACTGGAGTTCTAAAGGTTTCTTCCTCTTGCTTCTCTTCCTGTCAAGGGTTGTTCCCTTTAGGGTCAAAGTTGGGAGGGGTCCGTATTTTTCGAGACGTTCCTAAGGAACTAAGATGGTAGGTCACGAGACCATGAATTTTTTGCGTATTCCTGCTAACGCCTTCGGTGCTGATTGTTTCTCAACGGTTTTGACCAATTGAAAGGGTCCTTATGAATTTCCACCTTGATAACGATGTGTCTTGAGAATTGAACTCCTCAATTCCAAAACTCGTATCTAGAGAACTTCGGGTAATACTTCTCTGATCGTATTCCGTGGTTTGTTGTAGCTGCTCTCCTTGGTTTCCTTCTTGCTACGAGGGTAGATAAGTAAGTCCTTTGTAATGACGATGATGAACTGATCCTTAGCAAAATGGTATATCCTATTTATTACTTTCATGGATCCTACGAGTGGGTTTGATCCTATCCGAGGGTTATTACTACGAACTTTCAGCGTCTGCATCGAAGTTGGAGGATTGTTCTCGGACATCCTTCTTCAATACTCATGACTGGTGATATTCAGATCTCAGGTCCAATTCCTGAAGGGTACCTCGTTCGTTGCGGTTGGTCGGCCTATTCGTCTATGCGAGGCAGATAGTAAAGGTTTCTATTAGAGATGTTGTCGGGCCTCTGAAATCGACGGAATTATGAGCAATTTGCTTTTCTATTTGACGAATAAGACCAGAGTTTTCCAGGGTGAGAAGCTTGGTTCTTCAATTTCATTGTTAGTAGTTCGGCAGGTTTGACCTGACAGCTCTTGTAGCTCGATAGGAAGTATGTGGGTTTGGTTTACACGACTAGGCCTTTTTGGATGGTAGGACATTCACTCGTCCTTCTAGGCAACCTTGGCCTGAAGTTCATGGCAAGATTCGCACCTGGTTGTATCCATCCCAAGCTTCCTTTCTTGAACCTTGTCTGTTGTATGCATGACATTCCCGAAAGGTCTCTGTAAATACTTGTGATAAGGCTTGGGAAGTATAACACTCCTTGGAGTGTGTTTTAGAGTTCCACAGCGAGAGATGACCCAAAGGTCCGTGCTGGATGTTTATGAGAGACGATAGTTTCGATATTCGGGGGGTTAGGTGAAGGGCCCTTTTATAGTCGTTAAATCGGGAAGACGAGGGCTATATCAATCAAAATTAGATAACGACAACAATATCTTTTTAGATAACATGAGATAAGTTGTATTCGAAGGAAGAGATCACTAGAGTGATAGAGTGTCCTGTATTTCTTTTCTGTGTGTTCCGTTTTGTTAAATGTTATGATTATTGTAGATGATTCATACCACAGTGTCTAGCACTGGTAGTGGGTGTGTTTTCGATAGCCAGTAATGATACTTGATATCATGATTCCTGACAGGTCTCCTCATAATCGAGCGGTATATGATCGTCGTATGTAAGTTGATATCGTGCAATCGTCGAGTGGGTGACCCCACTCAACCCCTAATACTAGACATGGAATCGGAGTCAGGATGGAATTATCTGTTTCAAGACTTTAGTATTTTGATTTTAAATTAACCCCGATGTATGGACAAGGTCATCACAACTTACAGGTAATGCTCCTAAGGTCACATATGAATGTCTTTGGTTTGA